AAATTCAATTGTGTTTTTCTGTATGTTTGTCCCATTTGTTGTAATTTTGAATTTCATGGCCCCAGATTTCAGACCCGTACAATAATATTGGTTGAATACACCTTTTAAAAAGATGGATGAAAGTTCTACAATTTGTTTCTGGTGGTAGGAACTGTTTCAATGCATACATTGCTCTGGCTGCTTTATCTGCTAAATTTTGTTTGGCTTCAGTGTAGCAGCCATTTGACTTTATATTTATACCCAGGTAGTTGTACATATCTATACAGGTAATATTTTGTTCATAATAATAGAATTTTTCTGTCTTTTTCAGTGTTCCTCGTCTGAAAATAACAACTTTTGTTTTTGTCAGATTTACCTGAAGTTTCCATTTATGACAATAAACTTCTAAACTATTTAGTGCATTTTGTAGACTGTTTTTTGTTTCAGATATTAACACTAGATCATCTGCATAGAGTAGGGAACTAATTTTACAGTTATTCAATGTGACCGGATCTAATGATTCATCTTCTAGTAAATTATTCAAGTCATTAATAAACAAATTAAAAAGCATTGGGCTAATTTGAATTGAACCAATCCCAGTTCTGTATTGTGCTTTGAGAACATTATGCAAATATTCCATGTTACCACATTTAGGAGGGAGTAGTCTGTGTTTTGACTTCAATGTACTGGTGTCTTGGAATAGATGGGAACTCATGAATCTCTGGTTTGACTGTATGTCGAATGGAATTTTGTATTCTACACAACGCATCCCTAATACCCAGATTCTCACCCCGCCACAGAATTATACCTACTGGTAGTAATTATCTTCAAATTATAGTACTGTTGTTTCATTGAGCTTGTAACCATTATGACATAAATTCCAGCATAAATCACAGTCTAGTTCACAAATCATGGGCAAGGTGACCGATAGTTTTACTATGTTTTTCTATGAAATCTCCTTGACATTATTTTTACTCCCTTTTAATTTTTGCGTGTTCTCAAATGCTTCCAAATACAGATGTCAATGACAGTGACTTGTCAAATGTATTCTAAGCTTTCTGTGATTTTATATAGAGCACTATTATTGAAATGTCATAGTCATTGTGTGACGTCATGTAAAATATGGTATCTACCTTTGTGTATGTGGACATGACATGTGTAGAATATCATGTCTGTTTCCAATGTGTACTGCACAATGACTGCAGTGCATTAAATACTGAAAACTCTACTTTAGAGTCAGTGAAAATCATGAATTTTGTAGCAGCAAAAAATTCCCTGGGGTCATTAATTAAATTTTGTCCAGTAAATGCCAGAAAATCATCAAATTGCAAAATTTTCTTGCAGAGAAAATTAAATGATTTTCAGTCGCTTAATGTCTATTAAAATGTAAACAGCTTAGTTTGTTAATTTTTATTTACATCCCTTGTTTACAGACTGTTTAATTTATAACTTTTATTTTACTGTATTTTTTTTCAGATACCTACATGTAATTCCAAATACATTATCCGTTGAAATGAGAAAACGTCTTTAGGCTACGGCAGTCACTACCACCTAATGCATGGATAATTGCCACAGACAAGTCTAAATAATCATTTTATTTTGGGGTAAGTAGAATGTCATAACACACATTGCATAATATCATTCAGCTGGTCTTGCTGCTTGCTAACCAGAGTTAAGAGTAAACAAATAATTAATATATAATACATAAATAATTTTTTTTATACCTTGTAAATATGTCCAGGTTGTAGTAAGTATAAAAATTAATATTTTGAGTTTATATAACATACAAGTGACAATCGTTTCCACCTAGAAAGTATTTGTACCAGAACGTTCAGTGTTGCCCTTTTTCACCCCACAGGAGGTGGGGGAGGAGCAATCATTGTTCAGTAGCCCCATCGCTTATTAACTGCATTCTAAGGTCCTAATATCTTACTGTTAGTGGTGATGCGTTGCGTTGTCATTTGTTAATCAGAACCATGTTAGAAAAAGCTTTCTCTGAGGATCCAATCAGCTGAGAGTCATTGAAAGATGTCTAAAATGATTCACCCTGAATTTGGTCTGACAGTCAGGTGGGGACATCAGACCCCCCAAATGAGTAGTCAAATGGTGGGTATATGTGTCAGGAATCTGTCCAACCAATGTTGAAGGCTTCAGTGCTTGGGGCATGGTTGAGGTGGCCACTGGAAACTTGGAGGACAAGATCAAACCATTATTGTTTCAAGTACAACCAATATACCAGCTGTGTAAATTATAGGCCAGTGTTGGGATGTAGCAATGATAGCAGCAATGTGACAGAACTTCACAAATTTGATCATTTCTCAGTAGAACCATAGAACAACTGAATCTCTGACCCCCTTTAATTAGTCCCCATTCGGACGAAGTCTGAAAACGAGAACTTATAATTCGGTCTCCGTGCGTCTGTGCGTCCGTGCCTCTGTGTGTCCGTGCGTCCGTCCGGAGTAATATCTCAGAATCTCTTGGACCGATTCCGTTCATTCTTTGCATGTGCCTAGTACTTTATGTGGGACATATACACATGCAGTGGTTTAGCGATTCGATTAAAAATGGCCGACTGGCAGCCATCTTATTTTTTGAAAATGTTGTATTTTGGACATGCTTTATCAGGTTTCATTCAAACTTGGTACATAGATTAAACATGTTAGGATACATGTTCATGAAGATTTATTTCACAATTGGATCAAAGATGGCCGACTGGCAGCCATCTTGTTTTTTGAAAATGTCGTATTTTGAACATGCATTTAGTACATACATGTTAGGATACATGTGCCCGACCCCGACCATCCGTGAGTTCCTGAGTCTGTCCATCCGTCCATGGGTCCGTCCGTCCCTCAGTCTGTCCAGAGTCATATTTTAGAATCCTGTAGACCGATTCCATTCATTCTTTGCATGTGCCTAGTACCTTATGTGGGACATATGCACATGCAGTGTTTTAGCAATTCGTTTCAAAATGGCCGACTGGCAGCCATCTTGTTTTTTGAAAATGTTGTATTTTGGACATGCTTTGTCAGTTGTCATTCAAACTTGGTAGATTATACATGTTAGGATACATGTCCATGACGATTTATTTCGCAATTGGATCAAAGATGGTCGACTGGCAGGCATTTTGTTTTTGTTTTTTTTATGCGGTATCTTGGACATGCTTTGTCAGTTTTAATTCAAATTTGGCACATACATGTACTTTATACATGTTAGGATGCATGTCCATGACAATTTGTTTCAAAATCTGGTCAACGATGGCCGATAGACAGCCATCTGACTTTTTGGCCTTACTACTATATTTCCACAATTTATGTACCATTTTCATTCGTATTTGGCAAATACATCATACATATCAGTGTGTTTCATAATCAGATCAAAGGTGGCCGAATAACGGCTGTTTTTATTTTTGGCCATATTACTACTACACGGATCACATGTTTTGATGTAAATAAATAATCTGTTGTATACGCCACTTGGAACTCAAGTTTCAAGGACACGCTCGCGACAACCCCTCCGCTTTAATATGACGAGCACAAAGTAAACTTAATTTAACGGGGACTGTGTCATTTTCATTTGAAACTGAATTTAATCAGTGATAAATTTGGATTATTTAATTTGCTGCATGAGTGTCTTCTGGTTTAAATAAAAAATAAAGTTAAACCCTACCTGCATAGTATTTTGTTAGCAACTGTCACAGAAGCGTTTTTCTTCTAGTGTCAGTCTTTTGCATGGATTTCATCCCTGATATTTAGCAGAAATTCTATTGAGGAATCATTGTTTAGCATAGAGGGAATTGAAATTTAGTTTATTTGTGCATTATCTGCCACTGTATTTTTCTCATTTACTGCAAAATGGGGAAGGTCAATCTCTTGACCTAATCATGCGAAATAGAATAAATACAACTGTATAGATTCAGTAGAGAAACATATAATCTATTTATGCATTCACGAAATGCAAAATAGATAAGATCAACAAACATACATGTCCCTTGCGATATTTCTGAATATACTCTTGAGACACAGTATAAGACTGTAACAATTAGGTCTACTTGTGTATCCAAATATCAATTGAGGCGTACATGTTTTGAATTTGTAGTAAATTGCAGTAGAACCAGATTGCAGATTGCAAAAATCCCCCCAAAAAATAAATAAAAGCAGAGGTCATGTTAATGCTCATACATCCACAAATAAATGTCACTGATAGGTGAAGTATTTGAATGCAATTGAGAATCTTCCTTCCTGTAAGTGATTGCATTCAAATACTATTAATTTTCATTGCTTGGAATTGCGCAATGGTTTAATGGAGCATGTTAAGGACCAACTTTCACAGAATTAGCTGTAATTTTATAGCTTAATTTAGAACCCTTAGAATTTAGAAATTGTTTGAAAATGTTCACAATTTGTGAAAATGTATTTCTTGTTAAATTAAAGTTGGATCACACTATTGACAGTTTAGATTTTACAATGTGTACTGGGGTGGGGTAAAACATAATTACAACGAAAAATTTGAATTAATAATTGTTTATGCTGTAATATCTTTTATAATGATAATCTTGAAAAACTTTGTATTGTGCACGGATAGCACTCACAAGTAAAATGTAGTAATTTAATTGAGTTTTCCCCAGCTGTTAACATCACTGTTGAATTTAACACACTTATGTCATAGATCAAACAGCCCTGCACATATTCTGTATGTCTATTTGATGACCAACGATGTGTTAACATCTATGCCTTAACCTAAGGCTAATTGCTTCATGCATACCATCGATCAGAGGACCATGCTATGACCTGCACCTTATTTGTTGTGTTCCTCTGGCTTTTGACTGATGACTCTTTTCCTATACTTTCAAAGCATATGAAAACACTTGATCATGACAAACGTTACTACACCTTTTAATGCTACTGTTTTAATTTCCTCTCCAGGATGTGAACTAGGTCAGAATGGAACAAAGCACGTCTTATCGTAATACAGGAATCCCTTGGTGAGTGGATGTACCCGATGTTCTAGCTCTATATAGCAAATGTTATTTGATTCTATATGGATTTATAATTAAAAGCTTGGGCGCATTGTAGAGTGCAGCTTGCAAGCACGGTGGGAAATCTCTTTGGTCGTTATTTACCTGGAGATGTATTTCAAAAAACCAAGGTTGTATGAAGTTCGATCGCAGCCGATTCATCTTTCATACAATGACCATACAATGAATCATGTTCAGATTAATTTTGTCCATTTAACTAAACCCATGATTTTAATTGAATTCAGATTAAGAGCTTAGATGACATTGTTATCTTGTAATCGCTTTATTTGTTCATGGTTACTGCATTTGAACATGAATGTTCATCTATCAGGTCATCATTTTACTTGATTTTGCGGCCATCAATCACTCAACAAATATCATACTACCGGTATATCTTCATTTGAATCATAATTGAATTTCACATTGTGTCTTTCTCCACACCATAATATAGAAATTGAAATAAAAAAAAGTTATAGTTTAAGTTAAATTGCTGTGAAATGGTGATTCACCAATTGATCTCTTATCAGCATTTTGATTAAATCTTTCGGCTTTTCTCATCATCAGTCACAAACTCATTTTGGGCTGCTTATTCAGGGATTGAACTTTGGTTTTCTGAGGGCATCCAATTTCAAAGCCAAAATTGTTAACTTGAAATGATTGAAATTGTGAAAAAAACATTTGACTATATATGTTCAAGCGCATCAGGGCTTTCAATCTCAGTCAATTTCAATTCCTGCATATTGAAATATTATTTTACCTTCTTTTTTTTACACTATGGAAACCACAGATGTGCATTTTTCACATTGTATTATATAGATTGGTAGATAGATAAATATTTATTACTAACAGTCACTAATGTTGCTATAACACCAAGCCCAGCAAGCAGATTAGTCACTTTAATTTAAAAAGAAAACATTGTATATGTGAAAGCTGTTCCGCCTTATCCTCACATGTATAGCCCTATGGCAGACGAGTACAGGAAAATACTGTAAAATACTTTATTTTAGCCTGAATAAATTTTCACTGAAAAGGCTTTTTGTGTTTTGTATGGAATTTATTTTAACTGACTTTTGATGAATTGAATGTAGGATATAGGGAAAAAGGTATATTCGCTGGTTTTTAATTTCATAGAATTATCTCTTCAGTGAAAATAGCAAAAAGTTAATTCCAAGTAAAAATAAAGTATTTTACAGTAATTGTATACATATGTATTCACTGAATTATATCAAATCAATGTAATTCTATTGAAACATTTTGAATGCCAAAGTCAATATTCACAATATTAAACACATATTTTTCCCAAAATGTTGAACATGACTTGTTGACAACATAAAATTAGATTTATTTGGTTTAAAATTAACAAAGATATTCAATAAAATATACAGAAAAAAATTGCAGAATGTTGTGGTGTTGTAAAACTGTGACAGAAAAAAATGGTTGCATTCAAACATACACTTATTGTGAATGACTTATGACATAAATGGAAATAGTAGTGTCTTAGCCAGCTACCTGTCAGTATGACAGACAACATTTTATTATTTTTTTTTTTTTCTTGTCAAATATAATGCCAAAAATCATTTTTCAAATCACACTTTCTAAATCCTGGTTAACACCCAGGAAATGTGTCGCTAAAAGCCAGAACAAAAATTGTAATGTTTTTGGTCATCATTATGCATGTCAGTTTGGAAACATTTGTGTCACAGCTTTTTTTTTTATTTGGTTTCTTGCTTAGAATTTTAGAAATAAAAACATAAAAAAGTTTAATATATGTAATTGGTTTTCATGATAAATTTTAACAAAAGTACAACTTTTAGAATTCAAATAAAAAGCGTGATGATTTTTGAAATCAATATGTCCAGAAATGTAGGTTTTCACTCAAGTCACTGAGACGATAACATACAATAACAAAATGAAAATCATTAACTGGTATTATCTATGGCCTTGGATTAAGATATTTATTAAAAATATTAAATTTGAAATAAATTTTTTTTCTAAACTGCAAAAAACAAATAATGTACTATTTATCTGTAGCCCAATATGTATCGCTATCTTGAATCAGATCTCGAAAAAAGAATAAAATAAATATGATTTGCAACCCAGTATTATCAAGTCGTTAGTCTTATTATTATTATTATTATTAGTTTTATGATTTTGTTTCCAAAATGGTCACATGTTGGCTAAATTTAATCATATCACAGAATAAAATCAGATGCTTGTCTATCTCATGATTTGTACCAACTTTGACAAGTAATTGGTCTATGTATGCCAGAAAAAACGATTATAGTTTTTTGAGTATAGATGCACAATGGTATATATTGTAGCCTTATACATAAATATTTCTATCTCTCATTGGTTCTCATTGCGCATGCGCCAGATGGCCATAGCGTGTCATTGTTTACAAACAATTGTCTACCCATGAGCCTTTGTGTTTTTAGCATGTGTTGTTATCACTTGGGACAATTCCTACATGTGTGCAGGTGACAACTCTCCCGCTTTAAGTTGCACACTCATTCCTGTGTTTGTGTAAGCAAACTCCAATCATAAGAATCTATATACTTGTTTGGTATTAATTACTTCTACAAAAATCAATCATTGATTCAGTATGCAAAATATGAAAAAAAATCAAAGAGCTCCACCTAGTGGCCAAAGAGAGTGAGTAAAACATATTACCATGAATTACAGGCTAAAAATCAAACTACAATAGAATAAATTGAGTTTTCGGAATACACGGATATCAACAACTTCAGCTTTGAAACCTATTTCCATGGAAACAAGTCTTAAAATAAACTAGTATTATTTTGTAAATTACTTGAAGCAATCTTATCTGTATGTTGAATAAATGCGTGTTTCTGAGTATGGTAGTCATGTTTAGTTTTATCTCCATATTAGACATATTGTATTGTATTCTATTCTATTCTAATAAATAAGTAAAATAAAAAATAAAATAAATTCTATCTATGAAAAAAAACAAAATTTTGACTTTTCAGATTTTGAAAATGTGGTTTTTAATCTTCACAAATAAAATCAGCAAATGCATTCTCGTAATATATATTGTAAACTGCTGAAAAAGACATTAATCCCTAAGCAGATGTTGCACTGTTATTGAATGTAACACTTGACATGAATGTTTTCATATTCAGCATATTGCATGAAAGAGAACATTCTTTTAGTAAATTAGTGATAATGAGAACTGGAAATACTTGATGTATTTATTGCAAAGTTAAAGTGCACTATGTCAAGTTCATTGTGTTCACCTGTGACATGTACAGCATGTGTCAAATATGTTTGGTTATACTAATGTGAAATTTGAACGTGAATCTGCATGTCGACTGGAGCGCATTAATACGTATACTGCAATATGTCTTTTGTCCTCAAACTTTGTTAGAATTTATTGGGAAGTGTTCAACAACTTCCACTAGCACAGTTGAGTGAATTGATTAGTTTTGGGACAAAATTAAAGCAATTCAGTTTTGAGAAAGAAATGTTTAGACAGCACTACAAAATACTGATTCCGTTACTGAAATTCAATTTAGGTTCCTTCATTATATCTCAAAATGAAAATCCAAATTGATGTGTACTTCCTGTATCTCCTTGCCTCGCTGTTTATTTTTATCTGCATAACTCGGCCCTAAAGGTACATGTAGTTGGTCACAATTAAAGTTGCACTCAGGGCGCATTCATTTGGATGATAGAACTATTGTTTAATGGTCCGTATTAGAGCAAATTGTTGGGGGGAAAAAAATGAGGATTTGCCAGGATTCTTCTATGTTTTGAATTGCTTCAACCAGAAGCAAATCTTTGTGAGTCTACGTGTGTTTGATCACTTTTCAAAAGTCCAGGCGAATGAAATTCAAGCACAAATCTAATGGTAACATTTAGAAGTTAATTGTATAGAGCGACTCACGAAATTCAGACTATCAAATATGTCACATAAAATGTTCGAAGCACCAATGAACTGATAGAAATGCTTTAAAAGTGTGATTTTAAAACAAATGGAAGAAAAAGGTTTAGTTTTGTAAACATTCTTGAAAGAATAAAATAAAGATAAATTTATCTGCACTTTTTAAATGCTTTTAAAAATTGGGGGGGGGGGGTCACCATATTCTTTTCCAACAATATTATTATTGATGACACAGTGATAGTGGCCATTTTAAAACTTTTTTGTCATTGGTTTTAATGTTCTAAGTTAAATACATAAACCTGTGTATTTTTAGACCCAGGGATTCATAGTTTGATTTAAATTGTCTGAGGCTTTCAGTCCATCCAATCGTCCATGTGTGCATCTGAAGTTGTATACAAACATACCTTGACGAATTCATTTAATGTACTGCTATATCTTACACATACTTAAAGGGTGGTCTTTGCACCGCATCTTGTTCGATATGAGACTCATAGTGACGTATACAACACATGTGCTGGGCTAGCTATGACCACTGTCCTTTAACGTGTCTGATATATATGCTTGTGTGATGATTTCAGGATTGGGTCAAGGATGGCTGACGTAAACAATTCATCTCAAACATGTGGGTCATGGCATACTGAATGAATGATATTGTCATCTGATCAAAGATGTCCAACTGCTGACCATTTTATTTGCAAAAAAAACACTAATTTAAAAATCCTGTATACAGAACCTGGTCTTGTGTAGGTGTTTGTCAGTTTGCTTCAAACTTGATGAAAGGATTACCATATATGTCACTTTGATTTGTAAAATCTACTCAAGATGTCAGACCTGTGGCCATTTTGTTTATTAAATGCTATTTCAGATTTATCTTGTACATGCTTTGAGCAATTTGCTTCTAACTTTATATACAGACAATACATCATGGCAAACATATATGTACAATGTATGCACATCCAATAATCTTGTCACTAAATCAATGATTAGCTGACTGCTGAACATTTTAGTTGTAAACAAAATCAGGTTTTTTTGACATGTTTGAAACCAAAACAGGATGCATAATATTGTTGTCAATTTTTGATATATTGACAAATTATTTCCTACGTTTTAAATGAGATGGTATTTTTCCATAGGGATGCAGTGGGAATTCTTTGACGTCATCTATATTCTATATGCGCAGTAGATGCCAAAATTCATTGACAAATAATATGTATTACCGATTATTGTTTTTTATATATTTTATATTTTACTCATTTATAACAAACACAATTCTTTCTAAATGCTTTTAATATGGTCTTTAACATTAAGTGAACAATGAGGACTATTGCAAAATATTTCATTTCAATATTTTTGAATAGTTTCGATTAAGACCCTTATTAGCCAATGGGAAATTATAACTTTGGTTCAAAATTAACAGTTTAATAAGAGTTTAGAGATAAATAAAAATGGGCAAAATGATGTTTCGAAATTTAGATGAAAAAGTGAAGTGAAGAGTTAAAGACAGTATATGATGTATACTTGCTGCTCCAAGATGTTTGTGTGTGTCAATTCCATGCTTGATTAAAATTTTTAAAAATGAAAGAAATGAAAGAAATGAATGCCTTCATGAAAGATTATAGGTGGTATCATAATATTTTTCAAATAATACTGAAGCAGAAATTTTGTCAGTTCTCTATATTTTTTTTGTAGGGAGGTGTTGTTAGTCCCCGTTCGGACGGAGTCCGAAAACGGGGACATTATGTTTTGCCCTGTGTGCGTCCGTGCGTCCGTGCGTCCGTGCGTCCGTGATCACCTGTATCTCGAACATGCATGGACCGATTATGTTCAAACTTCACTCATACATCACACATTATATGGGACATATGCACATGCATTTTTTTCATGATCCGATTAACGATAGCCGAATAGCGGCCATTTTAAGGCCGAAAATGCATCAAAATGGCACATTTTCACCATTCCGGACCCGGATCTCAGTTATGCATGGACGGATTTCGTTCAAATTTGGTACATACATTAAACATAATAGGACCTTGATGCACGTCATTTTTTTTTTCGGATCAAGTTCGAAATGGCCGACTGGCGGCCATTTTGTTTT